TCGCACCACCACACTCTCAACAACTTTCGCCACAAAGCGGAGGTTGGAGACAGGATGATAATTTGCTAATACAGCCGGGTCCAGGGAAGGCTTCTTAAGGAGGGGCCTCACCACCGCCTTCTTCAAGGCAGCGGGGAAGTTACCCTCACTCAAAGAAGCAAAGCTGAGCAAGGCTGAGGGAGGGAAGGGGATAGGATAGGGGAGGCTTCTGTGGGGCAAGGCTGACGGTGAAGGGGATAGGACAGCGGTTCTTAACCTGGGGGTCGCAACCCCTTTGGGGGTCGAACGGCCATTTCACAGGGGTTGCCAAAGCCCTCTCTGCCCCCCCATGCCTTCACTCACCCTCACTCTCTGCCTCTGTTGGATCGCCGGCCGTTCACTTACCCCGCCTACTCCCAATCTATTGCTGCCTCCTGAGTCCCAGCTGATGGCTAGCGGGAAAAAAACTGTCTAAATTCTTGCCGCGGGGCTTCAAAGGGCCGCCCTACAGCTGATCAGTGTTAAAAGAAAACAAATGAGTAGACCGGTGCCTGCAAAAATAGAAAAAACGGCCCCTTTCAGCTTCAGGATAGGTTAATTAGCACAAGTTGATTAGATCAGCCTCGACTCTCAGCTGATTTGCTCTCAGCTGTTTTGCGGAGGACTCTGTTGCTAGCTGCAAAAAAATCTCCAGCAGATTTTTTCCCCCTAGCTATGCTGAAAAAACGAAACTGAAAGTAAAGCAGGGTCTTTGCTGCAACGTGACAAAATGAGGCAGAGAGAAATTTCTTTTTCTTTTTCCTCACCAAAAAAAGGTAGGTGCAAAACTGCAAACAATGGGAAATTTAGGGCAAGAGGAGGTTCAAGATTTTAAAACACAAAAGAAAAAAAGCTCTATTTAACTAGGGAATTGTAATAATTGAGATACTATTAATAGTATATTGTGTTGAAAGCAGAAATGGTTAAGTTGTGGTTTGGAGGAATATATGGGGGAAATTATTTGGTTTATTATTATTGGTAAATATAATTAATTGATTTGTAAGAAATTGGATTGCATGGAAATAATTGGAATATTCATGTTCATATTGATTAATATACAAAAAAGATAGTTAAATAACTAATTGATTTATATTAAAATGTTGAATTTGTATTAAACAACTGTATTACATAATTACATAATTAACCAATGTGAGGATGGATATAAAAATAGATGACAATGCGAAGGGGTATAATATAGAATAGAAGGGAAAAATTGAATTTGATTAAGATTAGAGATGAGGATGAAGGGTAATATTGTTTTTTTTAAAAAATAGATGAGGAATAGATATGGCAAAAAGGAAATATAGAAATTGTAAATTTAATTGAAATGACTAAACACTGTTTAAATTTGTGAACCGGCCAAATACTCTGTTCAAACAAAATACATTGTATGTTTGTATGTGTGTTTCTAATTATTGCTATTTATTCATATTTGTTCTCTTTTATTCTTTAAAGTTTAACAATTCATTCTTTATCTTAATATCTTCATATTTGTTTGGGGTTGGTTTTCTTCCCTTTCATCTTTTTTTATTGTACAGCAATCTTTCTCCTCAAACCTACCACCTCTCTCTTTTCTTTCCTTCTTACTTTCTCTTCCCCCCCTCTTCTCCTCCCTACTTCCTCTTCCTTTCTCCTTCTCCTCCTCTCTTCCTCCCTCTCTTACCCTCACTCCTACTCTAATTTCCCTTCCCTTCCTTCATCCCTCTCTATTGCTGTATCCTTTTATGCATATGGACTACTCAGAGGGCTGAAAAAGTTATTTTTGACTGGTCCTCGCACTTTTGCCCAGTCCTCGAACTTACGACTGTCCTCACATTTTACGTTTTTGCCCTATCTTGTCACCATGGTGAAGAGAAGCAGTTGTGAAATGAGTGACACGGTTGTTAAGAATGCTACAATGGGCATAAATGATGACCCGTCATAAGTGCGAAGACCGGTCAAAAGTGCGAGGACCTGTCAGAAATCACTTTTTTCAGCCCTCTGGGTAGTCCTTTTGTGCACATGGACTACTCAGAGGGCTGAAAAAGTTATTTTTGACTGGTCCTCGCACTTTTGACCAGTTTTCGAATTTACGACTGTCCTCACATTTTACGTTTTTTGCCCTATCTTATCCCCATGGTGAAAAGAAGCAGTTGTGAAATGAGTAACATGGTTGTTAAGAATGCTGCACGGGCATAAATGTGAGGATGGTCATAAGTGTGAGGACCAGTCAAAAGTGTGAGGACCTGTCAGAAATGACTTTTTTCAGCCCTCTGAGTAGTCCCTATACACATAGCCATGGCCACCCGGTCACATGACTAGCTAGCCACGCCCACCCAGTCACATGACCTCCAAGCCATGCCCACAAAATAAGCCACGCCCACAGAACCGGTAATAAAAAAATTTAGAACCCACCCCTGGTTGGGGGTCACCACAACATGAGGAACTGTATTAAAGGGTCGCGGCATTAGGAAGGTTGAGAACCACTGGGATAGGATAAGGAAGGCTTCTGTGGGGAAAGCCTTAGGGAGAGAATGGGATAAGAGATGCTTCTGTGGGGCAAGCCTGAGGAAGAGAAGGGGATAGGATAAGAGAGGATTCTGTGTGGCAAGGCTGAGGGAGAGAAGGGGAAAGGACAGGGGAGGCTTCTGTGGGGCAAGGCTGAGGGTGAAGGGGATAGGATAGGATAGGCATCTATAGGGCAAGGCTGAGGGAGAGGGGATAAGATAGGGGAGGCTTCTGTGGGGCAAGGCCAAGGGTGAAGGGGATGGGATAGGGGAGGCTTCTGTGGGACAAGGCCAAGGGTGAAGGGGATGGGATAGGGGAGGCTTCTGTGGGGCAAGCCTGAGGGAGAGAAGAGGGAGGCTTCTGTGGGGCAAGCCTGAGGGAGAGAAGAGGGTAGGATAGAGGAGGCTTCTGTGGGGCAAGGCTGAGGGAGAGAAGGGGATAGGATAGAGGAGGCTCCTCTGGGGTAAGGCCGATGGTGAAGGAATAAGAATAGGGGGGTTTCTGTGGGGCAAGGCTGAGGGAGAGAAGGAGATAGACAGGGGAGGCTTCTGTGGGGCAAGCCCAAGGGTGAAGGGGATAGGATAGGGGAGGCTTCTGTGGGGCAAGGCTGAGGGAGAGAAGGCGATTGGATAGGAGAGGCTTCTGTGAGACAAGGCTGAGGGAGAAAAGGGGATAGGAGAGGAGAGGCATCTGTAGGGCAAGTTTGAGGGAAAGAAGGCGATAGCATAGGCTTCTGTGGGGCAAGGCTGAGGGAGAGAAGGGGATTGGATAGGAGAGGCTTCTGTGGGGCAAGGCCAAGGGAGAAGGGGATAGGATAGGGAGGCTTCTCAGGGGCAAGGCTGAGGGAGAGGATAGGATAGGAGAGGTTTTTGGGGGGCAAGACTGAGGGAGAAGGGGATAGGATAGGGAGGTTTATGTGGGGCAAGCCTGAGGGAGAGAAGGGAATAGGATAGGATATGCTTCTGTGGGGCAAGGCCGACGGTGAAGGGGATAGGATAAGGAAGGCTTCTGTGGGGAAAGCCTGAGGGAGAGAAGTGGATAGGATAGGAGAGGCTTCTGTGGAGTAAGCCTGAAGGAGAGGAGGTGATAGGAGAGGCCAATTGTACTACTGATTAATTTTCAAGTTCTGTCAATTTATCAAGCCCGACCACATAGTTTCCTAGCAGAGCACGACTATTCGGCTAGTAATAAGACATATGGAAACTTATTACTACCATCTATGTATTAACTATAATATACTATGAGCCCCTAATGGTTTTTAAAATGTATTAAAATTGATTTTAATATTTAAAAATGCCCCAAAGTAAGTTACTTGCTAAATTCACTGTTTATTTTTGAGCAAGAAAACATTAACTACCTCCTATTTACAGAAAACTCTTCTGAGATTTGCTTTCTCAGTTAGCCACTACCCAGAATACATCAAAAGTTTTTCCTACAATGGAGAAAATGATATATTTTTGCTTTTTGTTATTTTCTTTTTTGTAACTTCTGTTATTACAGAGAGTGCAGTTACTGGGCCATTGTGGATAGACAAGGTTAGGTGCTCTGGCCTAATCTTAATTACATTTACTTTCAGAGAAGTAAGCTTAGCACTTTTTTCTTTTAGAGATAATGTTCTCATCCCAGACATATAAATCAGGAAAAACTATGTTCGTTTTCCAAATCTCATTATCTCCTAAAATGATTGCTTCCTTCCATGCAAATTCTTAATAAATTCTTATGGAAGCTCACACAAAGCTAATAGAACAAAGAACAGAACAAACTCTTATCCTTTCTACTTTTTAGAAAATGCCTTTAATTAAAAATTTATATGCAAGATTATGCCAATGAAAATGAATTAAATCTACTTTTAAGACATGTTAGGCCGTGAGGAAAGGTTGCTATATTCTATACCCAACTGGCTTCTTTATATGCACTGCTTCAATAGGTAAATTACTGAGGAAATGCAGATTTTCTCCTAAAATAACTCTCCCAACTCATATGTGCTGAACTACTTGAAAGTGACATACAATTTCAGATGATTTATATATACAATTTAACTGCATCTCTGGAAAAAAGAGAGTGAACTGTGATATTGTTTCCCAATGTTCTCTGAGTAGGCTTTTTAAAAATTAATGTGAAAATCTGTTTCTAAGCAAATTTGTTTTAATAAGTAAAAATACAAATTAACAGACAAGGATTAAGTTTTGTGGCAAATCTAACAAAGGCTAGAGGAAAAGCCTATTGTAGAGCTGGATGGACTTTTTGTTGAAAAAAGCCAGGTTGCAGAAACATACTATAATCCCAGATTCTCTCTCTGAATGCAGCAGGCACAATAATTGCTTTGTAACCCACATTCTTGTAATAAAGAAAGCAAACACAGACCTAACACAAATCAGGTCCCTTTTTCTATTTCTATTCAGATTATAAAGCAGGATTAGTCTATAACCTCATAATGCACCAAACTCAAGAAGGCAAAAAAGAAAAAAAGAAAGTATCCTTTGTCTTTTACTTACCAGTTGAGGCTGAGGACATGTGTGCTCTATCTCCTCCATGATTTCTGAAGGAAGCTCATTAGAAAAGGATTTTGGGATACCTGTTTCTGACTCAGCATTTGTTGCAAGTACTGGCATGGCCAGTGAATGCTTCTTGCGATGATGCCCTTTCTGCTATTCTCTTCTCAGCCAGATAATGTTTTCTCATGTAATTCTTTCTCTCCCTCACCTTTTTCCCCTTCTCTTCATTTCATTCCCTTGAAAAATTAAAGGTTTTTCTTTCGAGAAGAAGCCAAGAGGCAAGGCCTCAGTTTATCACTATAACAACCAGCCAGCAGCAGAGCAGTTGGTACATGATATAGTATTCTAATTTGCATGACACATTCTGGTTGGTTACTGTCATCATAGTACCACTTTGACTGAAGTAGCTGATATATGCTGGGAGGCAGGTTGATATGAATGCCTTCTTCCCTTTATTTAGGGCTTTCCTGCTTAAGTGTCACATGACTTTACACGTTTGATAATATTTTTCACATTTATTATTATACATTTATTTCATTTTGCATTTTTCTTCCTATTCTTTTAAACAAAAAGGCACATACTGGGATTTTTGATGACTGAATTGCTCTAAATTTAAAATTCTATTTCTGTATTTAAAAATAAATGTATGATTTAGAAAAAGAGAGTGAGACGAGCATAATAGGAAGTCATAGACTGAGAAGAACAATAGAGAAAAATATTGAGCTAATTTAGCCCTGGATTTAACAATGCTGAGTGAGTTGAGAACTCATAAATTCCTCTCAAACTTGTCAAAATAATATATACTTTCCACACTATTATTTCAACCTTGCATTCCAGTTCTTACACCGCTGCGTTCTGGTGCTGAAGGGACAGCTCCTCTTAGTAATAACTATCTATGTAAGTCAGTGATCAAATAATGCTGACTTATGTTAACTAGAGATAAACATAACTGATATAATTTTAAGTGAAGATTTTTTGAAAGGAATATAAAACTAATTCAAAATAATATGAAGTTTAAAAAAGAAAAGAAAATGAAAGAAAAAATTAAAGCGAAAGCTAAAAGTGGAACAAAGGGGGGAAAGTAAAAAAAATAGAAAGAAAAACATACAAAGAAGTAGTTTGCTATCCTCTTTACTGTAGAGCAGTTATAAATACCAATATAGAGTTATATCCTACTTTATGAGTCACTACAGAACTCTCTTGTTTTTATAATTTATCCCAGTGTTTGTCAATCTTGACAGCTTTAAGATGTGCGGGCTTCAACACTCTGAATTTCCCATCCAGCATGCTGGCTGGAGAATTCTGGGAATTGCCACACATTTTAAAGCTGTCAAGGTTGAGAAATACTGGTCTATCTTGTCTAATAATCAAAGCCATATATCATAAGTTCATTTTTTCTGTTTCATACAAAAAATCTATACAAAGTTTCCAATCAGCAATAAACATAGATATTGTCTTTTCTCTGATCAAAGAAGCCAGTTCAGCCAGTTCCAACATCTTCACTAATTGTGGGTAATGCAAAAGCTTTCTATTTTTGTGCAACTTGCTGCAGTTGTCATGTATAAAACAAAATTTTATGACTTGTTCCAACTGTTTGTTCATCAATCCCAAAAGAAAAACCTTTAATCTTAATTGTTTATTAATCTTTAATATCCTCTGAAACAGTATATTTATTTGAATCCAGAATTTTCTAGCTATTTAACAGATAAATCAAACAAAAGTCCCTTCTTGCTGTTCATGTTTCTAACATAAATTTGAAGTGCTTTAATACATTCTAGACAATTTCTTTGGTGACATATACAATCAATAATTTTATTTAAAAATCTCTTTAATATTATAATATAATTTATATTTCAATCCTTCCAGATACATATTTTCCCATTGTTCCATCCATATAACAAATTTTAGACCATTTTATCAAACATTTCTTCACATGCTCATCTTTTGTTTCAAATTAAAATAAAAGTTTATATGTTTTCCTCTGATGATTAAGTCTATAAATAATGCTTGTTAAAAATTCAGGGTTTCAATTAAACATTTAGATGTTTAAAAATCCTATTTTTCTTTCAATATACTCTTATTACCTGATCAAATTAATATTTGTATACTTATATAGTCAAATTCACTAGAAATGGGGGTAGGAAGGGAAGAAGCAAAAAATAGCAATAGTAAAATAAAAAAAAGAAAAAAGAAAACAGGCAGAGAGGAAAAAATCATTTTCCTCTGGTTATTAAGTCTATAAATAATGCTTGTTAAAAATTCAGATTCAATTAATCATTTAGGCGTTCAAACAAAATCATATTTTCCTTTCAATCATTTTCTTATTACCTAACCAAATTAATATTCATATATTTATGTAGTCAAATTCAATAAAAATGGAAGTAGGAAGAGAAAAAACAAAAAATAATAATAGTAATAAAAAAAAAACAAAGAAAGAGAGAGAGAGGAGAAAAGAATAGAAATGTAGCTGAAAAAGAATAAAAAGGATAATAATAAAAAGAAAAAAGAAAAAGCAAAGGGGAAAGAAGGAGAGAGCAAAGGGAAGAGGAGAAAAACACCTCCTAACAACATTCAAACTTCTAATAGACAGAAAGCATTACATCCATTTTAATCAAACTGTATTATTTTTTCTTGTTTTGCTACCCAGTATATTCCATTTTTTTCTCTTTCTCCCAACTGTCCAAAAATGTTTTTCAATTTCAATATTATCGAAGTTATAAGCTCTTTAAAGTTTTAGTTCTTTTTTTGCAATTATTCCATATATAGTATCATCTTCTGTTGCCACGCCTTTTCCCTTTGTTACTATGCTCGCTACTTTTTTTTATATAAAATTTTATTATAAATTGGAAACATAAAACAGAATAAAGACTATAACGAAACACAATCACATACATACGACTGAGGTTGATTCAACCCTCATATATATATAGTTTCTAAATAACATTACATATCATCATACTACAGCTTCAATTTGGTTTATCATACTGCATCTTGCATTTGTTAATCTTCTTATATCTAATATTCCCTTATTTATATTTAGCTGGCTATTTATATATCTATGCTACATGCTTCCCTAACATCTGCTTCATGACATTTTTACTTCTATCCATTGGTACCATTTATCCCAGCTTTGATTGAAAATTTATTCTTGTCTATCTTTAAGTCTATATGTTAATCTATCACATTCTGCACACCACAAAATTTTGTTGGTAATCATCTGATCCGATGGTACTTCCTTCCCTTTCCAAAGTTGCACATATGCAATTCTAGCCACAGTGGTAATGTGTATGAAAAGGTACCAGTCTGCTTTCCTTATGCCCCCAGGGTTTATTCCTAGCAAGTAGACCTCTGGTCTCAGTTGAAAACTGACTCCTGTAATCTCCATGAGCCAAACTTTTATCTTACTCCAATAGTTTTGGGCTTGTAGACATGTCCACCATTGGTGATAAAATGTACCCCTGGCTGACCCACATTTCCAACATTCTGCTGAGGTTCCAGGGAACATCTTTGTGATTCTTGCTGGTGGTATATACCATCTATATAACATTTTAAATATATTTTCTTTGAAAGACACGGCCATCGTCATTTTCGCATTTCTATTCCATATTTGTTGCCATTTTTCCAGATCTAATGAATATCCGAAATTCCTCCCCCAGGCTATCATCGAGTCTTTAACTATTTCCTCAGCTACAAATCGGGACAGGAGGAGGTTATATACCTTAGTGATACGTTTCTTATCATCTTCCAGGAGGGCCTTATTGAACTCTTGTGGTGAAGTGAAAACCCCTCCATTGGCTTTATCTTTTTGATATCTTGCTTGAATTTGTGCATATGCCCACCAGTCCAAATTGATTCCCCGTATTTGTAGTTCCGCTTTAGATCTAAGATTTCCCCCACCGTTCAACAATTCCCTGTATATCACAGGTTTATCCAAGTTGTATAGAGGTGGGTATATAGTCGCTTCAAGGGTCACAAACCAATATGGAATCTTACTATACATCATTCCTTTGATCTTATTCCATACCTTAATCAGACATCCCCTTACATAGTGATTTGTAAAATATTTATGCTGTCCTGCTTTGATTGGCCAGAGAAAATAATGCCACCCCTGCTGTAGATTATACCCTTCAATTTTTAATATACGCTTTCTCTTCAGTATTATCCAATCTTTTATCCAATCTCTTACCCAGGCAAGAAGCTTGATAGTACCACTCCCAGTTGGGGAGTCCTAAGCCTCCCCTTGTTTTATGCTCCTGCATCATTTTCCTTTTAATACGTGGCTTTTTCCCTTGCCATATGAATTTTCCAATTATCTGATCCATTTTTCTAAAGAAACTTTTCTCTAATCTTGCTGGGGCCGTTTGGAAAAGATATATCCATTTTGGCAGCACGTGTGCCTTTATCACTGCCACTCTTTCTAACAGGGATAGCTGGACTTTCCTCCACCAATCTAAATCCTGTTCCATTTGCAAGATGAGTTTAATCATAATTAATTTTTTTTATTGAGGAACATTTTGGGGTCAGCCATATGCCCAAGTATTTTACCTTTTTAGCTATTTGTATTCCCATCACATTCTCTATCTCCAATTTCCGTGTCCCCTTAAGATTTTTAACAAGTAATTTGGTTTTGTCCCTGTTAATTTGTAGACCCGCTACTGCGCCAAATTCCTCAATACTTCTTAACAAATTTGGCCCCGAGGTCATTGGCTCCTCCAATATAAAGACGAGATCGTCTGCAAATGCTTGTATTTTAAACTCTTTCCTAACATTAAGTCCTTTTATTTCTTTGTTTTGTCTGATTTGATTTAGTAAAGGTTCCAGAGTCAAAATAAATAATAGCAGGGACAGTGGGCATCCTTGCCTAGTTCCCTGACGTATTTGTATCTCCTCTGTTGTTTCACCTTCAATTGACACTCTTGCGTATTGCGCCATATAAAGTGCCCGGATAGCTTGTGTAAAGCTAGATCCAAAATCCATCTCCTCAATTTGTAATAAAATAAAGTCCCAATTAACCCTATCAAATGCCTTTTGGGCATCGAGGAACATTAGAACCATTTCTTTGTCTGTATGTGTTTCATAATATTCCAGTGTATCCATGATGGTTCTAACGTTGTCTCGTTACTTCAATTTCAATTTTTCCATTCCACTTTTTCTCTCCAACCAACAATAAGTTCTCCATTAGACAAGTTAAATATCTCCAAAATCAAGCCTCCTTAAATTTTCCAAAAATAATCCAGTTAGGGTAACAAGACACAAAGTTTCTCCTTTCAATCACTGGCAATACACAATTTGTCACTTTCACTTCGGCTGGTGTCCATTTTTATCACCGCTTGTCTTTTCTCCTTGTTT